CACACACACACACACACACGCACACACACACACACACACACACACACACACACACACACACACACACACAGTTACCAGTCCTGCTGTTGACAGATACATTTCTGAATGTCTGGCCTCAAAAGCATGATCTTCCAAAATGTCGCCATTTCAGGAAAGAAATATACCCTATAAAATACTGTTCTCTTCCATCAAGCCTGTTTCAGTTAGTTACAGCTTTGAAACCAGCTCCACTAAGTCAATGCGAGTCTTTCCATTTACTTCAATCAGCTTTGAATCAGGCCCTTGTTGATTCTGTAATCCTACAACATGAATGAAATGATTTTTGCAGCTGCCCAAGGCTCTGACATGGGGATCTGCTGCAATTCCTAAAGGAGAGCATGCTGGTGAAAGGACCTACAGATGTTTGAGGGATTATTCCACCAGGGCCCTTGTTTTTAATACGGTGTTAATGGGCTCACTGATGCAATTAAACAGTGCTCTCCAGACACTACTTATTTTTGCTAAAATGACCATTCTGCCATGGAGCAGCTGAGATCTTATTGGTCCATGTTGTATTATAATGATGACTCTAGGCAGCAGAATATGATTCACAGGGGAAAGATGGGTCCAAAGTTGAAAGCAAATACAGAGGAAGAAGAAAAGTGGGAACAGAGCAACCAAAACAGTAGGTAGAGATGAGGGTGGGGAGTGAGCAGTCCCAGGCATCTCTGTCATCTCTAATGAGACATACGACTAACCAAAATGAACTGACACCCATATACCTGTTTTTTGCATATGTGGGGATGGGACAAAACTACCTATATTCACTGGGACATACTGCCGTGTGCGTGCTTATGATGAAACTTGCTTTCTGAAATTTTATACAACCTTTCCTCAATCTTTTCTCTCTGCCAAACATTAAACAGGTTCCAGAATGTTCCGGACTCTGTTTCAATGTTGCAACACTTTGACACAAGAACACAGGAGTTAGGACTGGAAGAGCCTAACTTGATAGGCTGATCAAGTCCAAACTCCTGGTACTGAAGGTAACTGCATCATATAATCCTTTTCAGAAGCTTCTCAAATTCTTTCAGACATGGGGGCTGTCTCTAGACTGCATCCCTTTTCCGTAAAAGGCATGCAAATTAGACATATCTCAATTGCAAATGAAGCGGGGATTTAAATCCCCCCCACTTCATTTGCATAAAATGGTTGCCGCTTTTCAATAAACAGGGCTGCCGCTTTTTTCCGGCTCAGAGCTTTGCCGGAAAAAAGCACCAGTCTAGACGGGTATCTTTCGGAAAATAAAGCCTTTTCTAAGGAATAAGGGATCTTTCGGAAAAGGATTTATTTCCCGAAAGATCTCCGTCTAGACTGGTGCTTTTTTCCGGCAAAGCTCCGAGCTGGAAAAAAGCGGCAGCCATGTTTATGCAAATGAAGCGGGGGATTTAAATCCCCGCTTCATTTGCAATTGCGATGTGTCTAATTTGCATCCCTTTTACGGGAAAGGGATGCAGTCTAGACACAGCCGGAGAGTTTTTGGATGCCCTCTATGATGGCTATTGACTCTTCCCTCGCTGAGGGTCTGCATGCTCTAGGTCTGCTACTTCCGCATCTGATTTGAGAACGGGTCCTGTGTAGAGATCCCTTTGATTCTTTGTGCCTGGCACAGGTGAGAACAAAGTTCTGATGAAACTCCTTTGGCTGGCTGTTATGGGTACCAGGCTGTCACACACATCAGCAACCCCAGATAAAGGAGCCAGGATTAAAAGAGATGAGGAGGCGGTAAAGTGATAAAATACACAAAGCTCAGCACTCCTGCAGGCCTGTGATCTGCCATGAGTCTGTTCTGCGTTGCACAGAACCCTGTTCCCAGAGGAGGGTATGGTCAGGCAGGCTAGGAGAATCAGCAGTTTTCATCCAACAGTCATCTTATACCAAGTGCAAAACAAAAGATAAGGCACGTTGCCTAATGTGGGGCTACATTGCAGGGTTTGGATTTTAACTTCATTCGAGATAAGGAAACTCTTTTCATGTCAATAAAACTCAAAACCTAATTACAAGTGTTGTTTCCTCAACTAAAAATAGGGCTGAAGAAGCCTTTTAAAGTCTACGAATTGTCATCAGGAGACAGGGACAACAGTTGCTCTGGATACAGGCAATATTATATATATTCAGAGATATCTGTTCTTTGTCAGGGGAGGGTAATATTTAACTACTAGAAGACTTACCTGGCATTGCTTGGGTTCTTCAGGGTAGGTGGCTGGTGGTATGGGGGGCACAGGAATCAGGGCAGGGGCTTGGGGAGGGTCACGGCATGGGGTAATGGTGGCTGCCAGCTTCTCCCCGAGGCTGTGCACCCTGCCTGTTTCTTTGTGGGGTGCGTCTGGAGTGGGAGGGCGAACACCCCACCTTCTGCTGATCCCCAGGGCTGGCATGGAGCCACTAGTGCTCCCCAGGGCTGGCATGCCATGGTATGAGTCTGGGCATCCCACCCACTGGTGCTCCCTAGGCCAGCCCAACGGGGGGCGGGGAGGGGGACAAAAGCTGCTCACCAGCTTCTCTCCGTGGCTGGCCCAGGGCAGTAGGGAGTTTTGCAGTGGCCAGCAGCTGCTTCCCAGAGCATGCTGGGGTGGAGGTGGCTATGCTGCTGGCCAGCATCTGCTTCCTGTGATCATGCATGTGTATAACTGCTCCTGCTATCACACCTCCTCCCTTCTCCATTGATATGAAACAATCAGGCTATGTCTACACTGCGCATTGGAGCCGTCCTGCCGCTTATTTTCAGGAAGAACGGCTCCTGCGCAAAAGGGGTTTTTTGCACAAGAAGGAGCAGCATAGACAGCTCCTACTTGCGCAAAAGCCCCTTCCGCAAAATGGCAGCTCATTAGGTATGCAAATGAGGCGTGGAGATATTAATCGCTGCACTTCATTTGCATATCTTCTTGCGCAACAATGCGCCATGTAGATGTAGCCTCACATTCCAGACACTTCTCATTGACCTGGCATGACCAACCCCTGACTTTCCTTTAAGTTAGGATAAGAGGAAGCTGCATCCTAAATTTGGTGGTCCTAGCTCTTACCACTTAGGAGGAGTTCTTGAACAAATGGACTCACAGATGGACAGACACATGCACATTTCTAAAATACCCCGTAAGATTTTCATGTCTCTGTGCTGGGAGATTTTGTTGGGGCAGCTGCTAAATCACATTGCCAGGATGGTCAGCTATAGCAGCTTGGGTGGCTGTAATAAAATGTCAATACTGGATCATACAACCTCAGAAAAATGTATTGTGCGGTGCCAAGTGAGTGAGTGTGTGTGTGAGAGAGAGAGAGAGAGAGAGAGAGAGCCTGCATGGAAAGGGATAGTTGTGTGCCTATGCACATGCAACCACTCAAGAACTCAGAACCCACAATTAAGGCTCTATTTCTATTTAGGCAAGTAAATACGACATCAGTGTCACTAGGGGTCTACTGAGTTTTGATTATTTTGCCACTTGTTTTGTTGCCTAAATGGGAGTTGAGTTTCTTTGAAAGTATGGTCCATAGTGTGAGTTAACACAAATGAAGGTGTCCACACATGAGCAGTGGAAGTGCGTGGGTAACCCCCACACCTTGTAGGTGTGGTTCACTTTCCCACAGAGTGGCATTTAAACCACTTACAGAGACAAAGAATGAGCTTGCTCTACAGTCTTAGCTGAGAGCCAGCAGGCTTTTAGCTCAAGCAGCACAGACTCTTGTGCACTAAGCTCCTGAGGTGCCAGGTTTGGTTCTACCTGCCGGCCTTACACATGTGCATGGAGAAATCTGAAGCTGCTGGTGTTAACACACATCAGAGAAAGGTTTCCCTGTGTTTTGATTAAGAGACGACAACAGACATCACTTCTTAATGCCGTTATAATCTTCTGGAAGAAGCTCTTGTGGAGCTGTAATGCCAACAGATTAGTGCTAAATCAATACCAGTCTAATTAATAGCTCCCCTATTTAAAGTGGATTAGAGATTACTCTGAAATATGGGCAACTGATGACTTATGATCTTAAGGAATAAAATTCTCATTTCTTTGATGAGTATTTTCCAGCCATGTGCACCTACTGGCTAGACATGAGGCACCTGCTGTTTAACGTGTGCATGACTGACTTACTCTGCTTGCTGAAATGGGAAAAGAATGGGAAGAGCAGGAGAAATCTGGGTTTTGAAGGGCACAAAAAGCCGGAGAAAAACCAGGCCTGACTAGAAACAGGGAGTGGGTCCGATTTTCCATCAAGTCAGGTGAGCAAACTCTCACACAACTGCACACAAAGAGGCCCGAGCCTTAAAATATGCCTTAGGAGTTTATGAAGAAGAGGCATTTCCGGGGCGTCTTCAGCAACGTCACATGACACTTTTAAAACGATACACTCTTGGAATGTGAGCTGAAAAGAACAAATACTCCCCCACCCCATTACAACCTCGCTCAAATGGCTAAGAAACGCAAGGAGAATACTGTCTACTAGAAAACACACCTAACTTCCATAGCTTTTGAGTCTGAGACTCGTTTTTCAGGGGAAATTGCCAAATGTCTCTTTACTCAGTGAGCCACAGACCTCCCGTTACTTCAGTCTCTGCCTCTTTCCAGAGTTGCACAACTCGGCTCTCTTCTCTAGCTTTCCATAGCAGGCATTAGGAATCCAAGGCTGGACTTTTAAAAATATGAAGTGCACATGAACGTACAAGTTTTTAGGCCCGCGTGTATGCATGCAGCTGCTGAGATGGTACACACATCTCAAGTAATTACAGGCAAAAGTGGCAGATTAGGAGTGTTTATACACCCAGTGTCATTTGGCTCTCACCCAAAGGAACACAGGTGCCTGGATTGTCATAGACGAGGGCACTGCACATGGAATCATGTCTTTGTACTCCCTTGCTCAGTAAAACGGCTAAGAGCCACAGAGAAAGGAGCCATTTACTCTGTAAAACATTTGTCGCAAAGTCAAGGGTAACTTTTCCTCCATAGGCCACTTAGGCCAGAATCAGAAACAGCCTTGATTTTCACAAGACTGTCCCGCATCCCATCATTTGAGAGATGTAGGCTTACCTTAGGATGGAGGCTGAGTCGTCATGTTATGACACAAGTGGCTACAAATGTGGCCCCCCTCCCCCATTCATTCTAGAAAGAGTTAAACACCCTCCCACAGTGGGAAAACGAGGATTTGATGCAAATGTTGAGGAAAGCCACTTGAATGTCATAGGAACAACTGCTAGGGCCTTTACACCAATGTCTCCAGTGTCTCACTAAGCTCTGGCACCTTGCTGTGACCCAGAGCACTCACCATGATGAATGATGCCATTTTCCAGCAGCGCTTGTCCCAAGTTGACCCCTTCCTCTGGCTTGCTTATCTCCCCAATCTCCGTGAGCCAGGATACAAATTCACTGCAAGGGGAAGTAGAACAGCAAAAGCAATTAGCCCTCTCCCCCTAAGGGCAAGCAAACATGTCTCTGCCAGACATTAACCAACCACAGGTGACTCTCTCCTTGAAGCACTGCATCACCATCTATCCTACACTTCAGCTACAGTACTCAGGAGGGAATGAGGGTGCCTCTTCTAGACAGCTGGATTTCCTACATTTCTGTAGGAAATGCTCGGCGGATGAAGCACGTTTCCTGTGGGAAACATTTCCCTTCATTCTCCATAACTAGCAGACTTGGAGGGAAAGAAGGTCCATTTGTAGCAGAAAAAGACTACAACCGAGACTTATTTTAACGAGCACTCCAGACTCTGAGATGAGAGTAGCAAAGGGAGGTTTATTGATGCCCTTAAAAAACAGTAAATCATACAGACAGGGAACTGATGTTTTTACCGTCGTATCCTTCAAAGCAACATATTCATCTCACTTCGTTGGGTCTGATTCTCCTCCACTGGTTTTGCACTGGGTATAACACCATCGTCTTTCCTGGATTTACATCAGTGTACATGAGTGGAGACTCAGTCAGAGTTCAAGTCCTGTTGCTAGGCTAATATAGGGTCTCTACATTAAAGCTGGGTCTGCTTTATAAATAAAAGATTATCAAAACCTTCTACCCTACTAAAAGTTGGTGGTAGGAGGCATACTAATTCTGAATGAGCAGGTGAATCACATAGCTTGTTTCTATGGTGAAGGCAGAACTGAAACATGGGCAGAGGAAAACTTCTGCCTACAGCTAGCTATGTAGTGTGTGACTCAAGAAGAGTGGCAGTATGTATAGCAAATATAAACTTTGCCAGCTGGATGAATGGGACCCTGCCAGTGCCCTCGAGGGACCAAGCAAGTTTGTCAGTTTAATCAGGGACTACGTCAGAATGTGTAAAATTTATCGAAAAGAAATATTTGAAAGCAGAGCAACATATGGGAAATCTGAGTTCAATAAACCAGCTGGGTGCCTGCCAACTTATGTAGGGTTATTTATCAAAACCAGCATCCGTGCCTCCAATTATGGGCTTTCAAGGCAGTATTTTTAGTCTTTCTGTATTTGTCATGGACTGACTCATCCCAGCCGTAGGTAATGGGACTGTTTTGCTTTTAGAACAACAACAATAAAAAACAGCTTCAGCTTGTTGAGGGACTGCCATGTAATTGGAACATCAAAGCAGTAGAACTGCTTCATTACATCAGCGTAATACCATGGAAACCAAGTTTGTAAAACACCTAAGACTATGCTAAACCAGTGCTGTATCAGGCCCAGTACCTTAAGGGATGCCTCCTTGGTCTCCCGGGGTACGTCTACACAGCAACGTTATTTCAAAATAATGTCAAGCTGGAGGACTTCTTACTCTGATTCCTGTAACCCTCATTTCACAAGGAGTAAGGGAAGTCAAAGGAAGAGTTTTCTTCCTTCAACTTCCTGCTGTGTAGACAGCACCCAAAGCCGAATTAAGCTATTTCAACTTCAGCTACACAATTAACGAAGATGGGGTGGAAATCATCAGATGCTCCACTCCCATTACTGAGAATATGAGTTGTACTACCTAATTATTTGCCTGCAAAATTGCATGCATATTCCATTGTCTCCCACTAGGCACTACAGTAGCAAATAATACACTTGTTTGCTAGCAGGTATTAGGGTATTTAAAGGAAAAGTAAAAACATTAGACTGTGCAGAGAGGTTTGCAGTTACCATGTACATGTGCATACTTGTTAATGCATGATTTTGTGTGTGCACAAGTAGAAGCTAAGGGTTGGAAGACTGGCACCTAATTACTTTCGTGAAAGAACATATGAAATAACTCCTTATGGAGAGACAACTACTAAGAGAGCTCAGCAGATCCTGTGTTTTCCTCCAATGGATTAAAGGCGAAGAAGGGTGGGATGTCTCTTTTTGAGCCAGTCAGTGCTACTCCTTATCTGTCAGAGGGGACACCAGCAAATTAAATGAGGAACTGAACCACAGAGACCCAGGGGAGACCAAATTAGACACAATTAATGCACAAATTAACATGCAATTACATTGCAGAAGTTAATTGCAACCTTTGTGACTAGAAGTCATGGAAATCAAGTCATTGCATGCGCGCAAATGGTCACTCAGCTCTGTCTACCTGGCCATTTGCACATGCAGTTCCTTAATCTCCATATTCATTTGCAGTAACAATAACCAGGAGACACCCTGGCATAACAAATGCATGAGATTAAAATTCCATCTTCCTATAAATTTCTTGATTGTCTTTCTTTGGCTTCAAACAGATTGATTTATTTATTTGCAATGGTCTAGCATCCGCCAATATTTCTGGGTCACAGTCTTCTCAAAGTTTATTAAGACTGCAAAATAAACACTAATTTTGATTAAGAACCAAATGCCATAGAGATCTTAAAGTGGCACTTAAGAAAGCCATCTCACAGTGCTAAAAGATTCAGAGGAAGGGTTTCAGGGAAGGGGTAAAGCAAGATTGTTTACTTTTCTGCAGTCAGAACGTTGGCAGCCCTACCTAAAGAGCCAGACGTTCAGTTCCTACCACACATGTGAATTAATTTGGTGCTATTTGGGAATGTCCTTAGCATCACATTCTCCATACATAACTCCAGTGTCAGCTGTATATACCTGTAGGAGGGCAGAACTTGGCTCTCTGTATTTAAACTTAACCTCTCTAAGGGTATGTCTACACTACAAAGTTAATTCGAACTAACAGATGTTAGTTCGAATTAACTTTGATAGGCGCTACACAGGCAACTTAATTCGAACTAGCGGAGCGCTTAATTCGAACTAGGTAAACCTCATTCTACGAGGACTAACGCCTGGTTCGAATTAAGTAGTTCGAATTAAGGGCTGCGTAGCCATTTAATTCGAACTAGTGGGAGGCTAGCCCTCCCCAGCTTTCCCTGGTGGCCACTCTGGGCACCACCAGGGAAACTCTTCTGCCCCCCTCCTGGCCCCGGAGACCTTAAAGGGGCACGGTCTGGCTACGGTGCCCATGCCAGGTGCAAGCCTGCCAGCACCCAGCCAGCAGACCCTG